GTGTAGCAGTCATTGGGGTTCCTGGAATGTGGTGTTAGACTATATGGCTTTTCTTTACTATTGTACACATGGTGTGGTATAGCCCTTTCTCTGTCAGTGTATTTAATATTTATATGGGCTCATTCTTTTGTCTGTTAAGTGGCAGTGCTTGAATTCTCATAGGACATGATTAGTTGGAAACTGGAACTTTCAGAATATGTTTTTTTAAATTTTTTGTTTATTTTTAATTGGAGAGTAATTGCTTTACAATGTTGTGTTCATTTCTGTTGTACAACAGTGTCAATCAGCTGTAAGTATACATATATATATATATGGGGCTACACACACATATATATATGGGGCTACACACACACACACACACACACACACACACACATGTATCTCCCCTCACACACACACACATATGTATCTCCCCTCTCTTGGGCCTCCCTTCCACACTTCTGTCCCACCCATCTAGGTCACCACAGAGCCCAGAGCTCCAAGCCAAGCTCCCTGTCTTATATAGCAAGTTCCCACTAGCTGTCTCTTTTACACATGGTAGTGTATATATGTCACTGCTACTCTCTCAGTTCATCCCACCCTCTCCTTCCTTCGCTGTTTTTTAGATGCCAACTATTCTTTAACTCTGAAGATGGTGAAATCTAATTATTATTACTGCCTTTTAGCACCAGAGTCAGGTTATAAAGGGTTTTACCATGTTCAAATAAAATCTGATTTTATTACCCTCTTAACATTTGAACAGTCTTTACATTAGTCTTATTTTCAGCTAGGAAAACCAAAGCTTTTGTGGTACTGTGTGGCCTTTAAAAAAATGAATCAGAGTTTAAAGAGTTGCATAGTATTAATGATTTGATATGGGACCTCCCAGGTAGCACTAGTGCTAAAGAAACCCACCTGCCAGTTCAGGAGACATAAAAGACATGAGTTCGATCCCTGGGTTGGGAAGGTCCCCTGGAGGAGGGCGTAGCAACCCACTCCAGTATTCTTGCCTGGAGAATCCCATGGACAGAGGAGCCTGGTGGGCTGCAGTCCATGGGGTTAAAAAGAATTGGACACAATTGAAGTGACTTAGCACGCAGGCACACAGTGATTTGATATAAAGCCCAGTTCTTTCTTGTCTTCTGAGAATCTCCAGAAGAAACCCTTTGAGAACCAATGGCAGTGTCACTTTACGCTGGATTAGTATTTCTGATTTTTAGTCTCTTGGCCAACCCTAATGTTTTTCAATCAGAATTCAGCTTCAAAAGGACATAATCATGACTAAGTAGATAGTTTTACATGGCAGGATTGCTCAACCTGCTGAAACTTAATAGTGCTCGGAAAATACATAAATTCTTAATACCTGAATATGATAATTGGAGTTGCATTTGTTAATACAGAGCATTTTAATTCAGCATACACTCTGACTCACATGCTGTCTTCCTCCTTCAAACTACCCCTTGTAAAACTACAGCTGCGGGATTTTGGAGGGGAGGGGAAAGCCATAGGTGAAGACAGCTGGATCATGGCCTTGGCCTTTGTGACTTTTTATTTTCATTCTTTCACTACTGAGAAAAGATGAGGCGGGCACATTTCAAAAGAACAGCTGACACTACCCATACCAAGTCAGTGATTACATCAGTCACTCTAATTCTTTGGTGTTTATGGGTCTTCTTTTCCATGTATGTGGCAGAGATCCAGTTTGTTAGGAGCGGGTAAGAACTGGGTGAGTATAGATTGGGACCATGCCAGAAAGTGGGTCCTCACCCTGTTTCCCCCATCCCCTGTCTTCTCCTTGAGCTGGGCCAGGCTGTAGGTTCTTATTTGTCCGAAGAAGGATAACTTTTAGTGCATACCGCTGAATTATACTGTGACTAGCGAGAGCCATGTTGTCTTTAGGCTTGACCATGCTGCTGCGCAGTGCATGCCTGTTTATTGCAGTGTCTGGAGACGGGGAGTTAACAGTGCAGTTTGCGATTGTGAGGTCGTGGAAATCTTGTTGGTAACATGCTGCTACTGCCTGGGAAGGAGAATCTAGCAGATAAAAAAAAAAGTGTTTAATTTGTTTGGCTAATATGTTACTTTTTATACATAAGGAAATTTAAACTTGGAAAAAGGTATTTACTGGTTCTGTAGGTGGGACCGTCAACTGGTCTTTTGAACTGTAGAAACTTAAAGTTTTGTTTCATTTTTGTTTGTTTGATTTTGGGGGTCACTCAGAAGCCGTTTAAGGCATAAAGGACTAAGATAAAACTTTTAAGTTATTTGCAATGAATCAGCATTATTCTAATGTTTGGGTTTTTTTTTTTAACTTTTTGTTTTGTATTGGAGTATAGCCAATTGACAATGTTGTGATGGCTTCAGGTGGGCAGCAAAAGTACTTAGCCGTGCATATGCATGCATCCATTTCCCCCAAACTCCCTTCCATCCAGGCTGCCTCTTAACACTGAGCAGGCATAGTTAGGGAGTTTGGGGTGGACATGTATACACTGCTGCATTTTAAATGGATAACCAGGTTCCATTGGGAGCCCTGTATTCTGATATCTGGAATGAGGTGGGAGACTTGTCCAGCTTCTGTACAGTCTATGCAAAACAGCAACTCATGCCCAGACATTCCAGATCACAAATGTTTCTGTCAGAATTGTTTGAATTCAGGTGTCTGCCTAAGGAAGAAAATGAAAAGAAGTTGGATAGTACGTGTCAATGATAACTTCTTCATTTAGGCAGTATCTTTGGTAAAGAACCCACCTACAATGCAGGAGACCCCAGTTCGATTCCTGGATCAGGAAGATCTGCTGGAGAAGGGATAGCTACTCACCCCAATATTCTTGGGCTTCCCTTGTGGCTCAGCTGGTAAAGAATCTGCCTGCAATGCAGGAGCCCTGGGTTTGATCTCTGAGTTGGGAAGATCCCCTGGAGAAGGGAAAGGCTACTCACTCCAATATTCTGGCCTGGAGAGTTCCATGGGGTCACAGAGTTGGACACGACTGAGCAGCTTTCACTTTCACTTGTGGGCATGTGGAAATGTTTTGAACCTTCCGTCTTCTGATCATTATTTCATGGCATCACAGTGGCATTGAGAGATTGGTGTCTTCACGTAGTCACAGTTATTTAAATTGGTGTTGGTCAAAGTGCAGGATGAGTTCCAGTAACCTTTTGTTTCTGATGTAATCAGTGAATCATGAAATCAATGGACAGGGGAATCATGGCTAACTTGTTTTTCATTAACGAAATAGAATATAATAAATGTAACTTTGCTCCTGGTTCTTCAAACTTAACATCCTTGTATTATCTAGGAGCTTGTTAGAAATAGAGAATTGAAGGTCCCACCCTACCTACCCTGTCATAATATGCATTCATTGTCACTGTAACTAAATCTCAGAATTAATGTTTACAAAACATTGAAATGGAAATAGTAAAGTTGATTACAAACAAAATCCCTCATATTCATTAAATTATTTCAGTTTGTTGTGTTCAAGTACATATGAGCTTATACTTCAGTACATTTATCCCTTGGTATCCGAGGGGGATCGGTTCCCACTCTGTACTGAAATCTGTGGATGGTCAAGTTCCTTCTATGAAATGGCCTAGTATTTGCATAACCTACACACGTCTATGCATATGCTTTAAATCTTTTCTAAGTTGTAAATAGTTGCTGGTGCATAGTAAGTTTTACCTTTTGGAACTTCCTGGAATTTTTTTTCTGAATATTTTTGATCTGCGGTTGGTTGTAGATATGGGCCCTCTGGATACGGAGGGCCAACTGCATATTTCCATGGGTCACGGTCAAAACAATTTTGAAATGCATTGTTTTAGATGTGAGTGATGAAATCACATCTCTGATTGTGGTCTTATCATGAACTGTGGGAGAGATTTCCTTGCTTTGTATTTGAATCATCTGTCAAGTTTTCTTTTCTAATATGTCTGTCTTCCAATTCAGTTTCCTCTAATATTAATAGTCTCTTGCTTTTCTGTTCTCTTCTTCGTATCTTCTGCACTTCAGTCCTCAGAACTGTACTCAGTGTTGTGTGGCCACTTCACTGGGAGACTGCTGCTAATTAGCATGAGTTTTCTTTTTTAATGTTCTTGGCACCAAAGTTGAAGAAGAGAATTACCAAGTTATGCAGTGCTCTTTCTTCCTCAGTTTGTTATGTCTTCCTTCCAAATGTTAGATGCAACAACAGTATTTTGTTCTGGATATAATTAAGTCAGTCTTCTTTCTGTGCAAGTATGCATAGCATGTCCTAAATGCTATGAACAGAATATTAAGAAGAAATATGTAACATGGAAGTCTGCCTTTGTATCCCCAGCTATATTTAAAACAAGCAATTGTGGCTTTAGTTTCCTGTATTCCAACCTAGCCCGGTATAGGCCAGATAGGGGAAGCTAACCTCTTCTGTCATTATTAAGAGAAATGCTGATTTCCTGGAATGTGGCCCTAAAATGGAAGTAAATCATACCACAGACTTGTATTTAGTGTTAGTTCCTTTGACCAGCAGTATGCAGTACAACTTACTGTAATTAAGCAGCTTAGAAAATACGTTACTTTCTGTGGCTCTGAGACAACTGGTGATCAGCAACAATGCTTATCAAATTTTTATCAAGTCCTCTTTCACTAGTGTTAAACATTTCGTGTCCCACAACCACACATGTGTTGCTACTGGTTCCACTCTTTTCTCCATCCAGTTATTCCATTTAACTTGTACTTTGTTTTAAAGGGCCTCTGAAGTAAATTTTATTTTACCTTAGGAACCCTACAGGGGTGCTCGAGAAAAGGGGGAGAAACAGAGCATTTTGCAATCTGTAACCTTATGAAAATGAAGGGACTTGTTACTACACATCCTTCTGCGCAACGGTTATATCAGACTTGTTAGTATTGACAGCAGAATTGCAAACGATTACTAATTTTTTTTTAGCTATTTTATCCATACTCTTTAACAGTATGATCAACATGTATTTGTTAATATTAAATGAATTTTCCTCTAATATTTTTTGTGCATTTTCCCCCCTTTTCCATGAAGGCCTTATCTGTTTGGAGCGGGGTGTTTTTCCATAAAAGCTCCATGGTGAGTCTCAGTTCAGTCCCGCATGCCTAATTCATTTGCTGTACTCTCCAAAAGTGACTCTGTTTTGTACTTTGTTCAGTTGCATGGCCTGATCACAGATAGATGCACCGAATTACTGAGTCATTGGTAGATGTTGGTATTTAAGCTTGAAAAGATTAGTTTTCTTGGTTTCATTTCATTTCTTGAAAATTCACATTAAAAAAATCATAGAATAATATTTTTTAAAAAGGAAAGGCAAAGAATTCTCTCATAATAATTCTGGTATATTAAGACATGGCCAACACCCACATTTAAAGCTTTTAGTATTATAGTGCTAGAAGATAGAAACTCCCTATATGACATGCTGAACTTCTGAAGACATGATTTATATTGAAATATAAATATATTTAAGTTATACCAAAAATGCCCTATAACTTTTTACTGCATTTTATTTGGTACCAAAGGAAAAAGAGTCAGTTCTGTTTTGAACAGTTGAGGTAGTTAAGGATCTACATGGGGAAATCTGGGTTTTACATACCAACTTCTAAATTCCTTAATAACTTATTTTGAGTTATTAACACCTACCCACTATAACTCATTTACATTCTTATGTAAGAGTGCATAAAATATATAACTTTGTCAGTCTTAGCATGATGATCATAGAAAAGAAACTATTTAATACTTTTATGTAAAGATGTGCAATAGAATGTATTTAGAGCTTGGTGTAATATGTTTAACAAAATAGTTAGAGTCAGAGCTCCAGAATCAGACTGTCTAGGTCTTAAATTCCAGGTCACACACTTACTACCTATATGATCTTGGGCAGTTTTCTAAAGCCTGTCTATGTCTTGTTTTCCTTGTTTCTATTAGAATTACCAGTAGCACCTACCTTATAGGTTCATTATGACGATTCAATGAACCAATGTATAAATTACTTAGAGCAGTGCCTGGCACATAATAAGAGCTCAGTAAATGTTACGTGCCATGCTATGATTCCTTTTCTGGTTTAAGGGGGAAATTCAAGTTTTGAGAAGAAGCTTCTTTAAGTTAGATCATGGTTTTGTTGTTTTGTTTTGCTTCTAAGAATGAGTGAGCCCAAGAGACATTTTGGTTAATGTAATTTATATCAATTTTATAAATTTAGTCAGAATACATGTATGTGCAATTCTTATAACTGCTTCTGAGACTTGTTTATACTGTCTTATGGTCCTAGGGAAAAGTCTTAGTCTTTTTTCCTCTTGGACAAAAAGAAACTTAAATAATTTGACACAAACTAATTTCAGTGTTCATACGCTAATAGGAATGTCTGAAAATTTCATTATTGTATTAGAATAGGGTGATAAATCATCATAAAGATTTCCTCTTTAAAATGCGGTATCAAAATTAGTACACAGATTGTGAAACTGTGATAAGCAAATTCAGGGTATACATGAGTAAAAATTCCCTGAAAGTCAATCTTCATTCTTTGTGTTAACTAGATTTTCTTCCAAAAACAAATACGCTACATGGATCTTACTCAGGAGCTTGTAGCAAACAGTGGAGTTTTAAATGCCAGATTCAACATTTGACAAGATTTCTTTGTAGACTCAATTTAGAGTTGAATTCCATCTCGGGGTAAATTTCTCATTTTAAGTACAAAGAAAAGAGCTTTAGTATGTTAATAAAGTTTGAAGTTTTAGCGTAGACATAAAGATGGAATGACAAATGTTGTATGTGAAATAAGAAAAGCCCATGCCTTCAACAGCTTATGTGCTCCTCAAATTTAAGCAAAAGCACTTGTCAACCAGAAATGATTTGAGGTTGAAACAAGATTAAAAGAGCCAGATTAAAGAAAGGGATATATGAAATATAGTAGACTTTTAAATCATTGCCTGTCTTTTAGAAGACTGCTTTGTGGTTTGTTTGATGCTATCGTTAGCTAGCAAGAAACTCGTTTTTAGTCACTTGTACTAGCCTAAAAGATCCTCCTTTAAAATACATCGCTTTACTGGTGGTGCATGTTTTTCCCATTAAGATCTTAATGAAACCTCAAATTAAGGCAGCAAAATGAATATAAATTTGACAACTTCTTCCATGTTGTTTATAAAAAGCTTCTTTGTTTTAAGAGGTTTTACTATTTTTCCATGTTGTTTAGCGTTCAACCTGAGAATGTTTTTATTTACCGTTTTGGAATAAATATTATATTATGTAAAGTTATTTCTTTATTTCATCAAATTTTTAGGACTTTCAGTATAGGGTAGGATTTGTATTTTGGAAGAATATGAAACTTTTGTAGTTCCTCTTAAAATGTTATATAAATTTCATACAAATTATTTTATTATTTTTATCAAAAGCTGAGATTTTGCTTTTGATCGATCACAATTTCTGCTAATTTCTCCATTCTTTGATAAACTGTTTTAATTGTTGAAATACATGCGGTTTCAGATGAGTCAGTTTATAATAATTTCTTTTCCTTTGACAACCAAATAAGCTTGTTGGAAGGTTAACTATGCAGACCAACACTTTAGCCATTTTATACATTCTGAAGATTATGTATTTTCTAGGATTTTGGAATTTAAATGATGGTATAAATGATGTAAAAGAATCACACACATGATATGATATACTTTTTAAATGCAGAAAATTTAAGAGAAATACAGTGAAATTTTAAAAATGGATTTTGCTTTCACTATAACAAATAAGTAATAAGTTGTTATGGAGTTCCTAATCTGCATTTAGTAAACTTTCCTATTTTTTGAATTTCTTACCGAAAGAAAAAATATATGCACAACAGTGTAGACAAAAGGTAGTTCATTTGAATATATCTTTATGGTATATAAGGTTAATTTTAAAGAAGAGTTAAAATTTACATATCAAAGTATATTTAAAGTTTTAATTAGTGCCAAGTTTTCAGTCTGTTTATAAATAGTTAATTTAAGCTAATCTAGTTATTCTGACACTACTGAAAAAAATATAAATTCATTTTCAGAAGGAAAGATTTATATGGAGAGGAGAATCTTATCTGCCAGGTTCAAAGAAAATCTCTTAGATCTTTAAGAATAATTTGTGATAGAATACTTTTAGATACCTGGTTAATATCTTTTTAAAAAATAAAGTACTTTCATTTTCCTTATTAGTTTCTATTTTCGAAAATAAAGCTGAGAGTGAGGGAAACGTCTAAATTCCTTTTGAAAGCCTAATCACAGTGAGGAATATAAAGAAAAGCTTTTTCTCTTTAACACAAGGTATAACACCACTTGTAATTCTTATATAAATATTGTCTAAGATTTGAACTGAAGTATTGACTGTACCCTTGTGATTTAGGGAATGAAAGAAACGGTGCTTCTATCTCAGCTTAGCCCTTTTCCATGCTTGCGTCCTAAATAAGGCCCCAGACCTCATTGTTGCTTTTCATGCCATCCACAGATTTACCACTTACATCCTATTTTATAGAACATAGAAAATTATCCAGATGCACATAATTTTGCTATAATTTTAAAGCCTATATCATTAGAGTCTTGCTTTTTTTTCTTGGTCTGTCTGTGGTTAGAGTGTGGAGAAAAAAACAAGCAGAGAAATTTAATATGTTTATCTGATTGAATTACATAATACAGAAGGAGCCAATGGGTAACTTCAATAGTCTTTGTAAATATTTTTAAAGATGTCATCATGTTAATGTCCCTAGAACATCTGATGGCATTAAAAATGATTCTCATTCTGTGGTTAGATGGTTAGGTCTCCCAGAATAAATGACGAAATGTTAAAATCCTGTGTTTCAATTTAGCACCTTATTTGTTGTTGTTGTTGTTGTTTTTTTTATCATATATTACTTTTGGTTACATTGTCTCTTGTATTAAGTTTTGTAAATGTGATGTTTTCTGATATGGTGAAGGTTGAATTCATTCTGTAGTCCGTTATGTTTTGCTCACAAGTGAAGGCAAATTTTTCTTTTAATTTTTGACCTTGGAATTATTTATGGCACAGGAGAGTATAGTGCAGGAGTTGTTAATGGATAGGAGTCCCCCAGCTCTATCAGTATGTTTTGTATTCATTTGTAACGATGACACAACTGAATTTCTGGACCCCCATATACACATAATTTTTTTTCTATCAACTACTAATTGAGTAAATTAGTTAAACAGTGAGAGGCGTTTGTTTTAAACTTGCAGATGTCTTGTAAAAAAATTTTTAATGTCTCTTTCAGAAGATAAAGGGAGATAGATATTGAGAAGAGGAAAGAAAAGAAGGCTAATATTGGAGTGCTTTTCTAAAATGGTTGGAACACCAGTCTATAAATATGCATGAGTTACAAGGCTAGCACTTTTCTGTTTTATTCTTTTCACATATGTATCATTTTTCAATATTTTATCTTTCTGCCAACAAAAGGTGATTTTGCAATAGAAATATTCTGGGTCACTGGGAAAAGTTCAATTCTGCTTCCACCCAATATTCCACCTGATCTTGGTTTTTAAAATTTTAGGATAAAAGGGAAATTGAATCAATGTTAAATTTTCTTCCTTTGGATATTTCATATAGAAAATACTTTATTAATAATAATATTTGCTTTAGATTATATCTCTTTTCTATTTTTCTGAAAATCTTGTACACATATACTACACATATTTAAATTTTCTATTTTGCTTAAATGCCATGGTCATTCCAAAGGTCGATTGATGATAGAACTAACTTGTTATGACTATGTTCACCAAATATGCTAAGTACCCAATACATGGCATTGTGTCATGCAGGGGGTGGCAAGTTATTTTCAGGGAAAAAACTTTTAATATTAAACACAAACTTTTACTAATGTGATTTATGAAGGCCCTATCAGAAGAATAAGAAGAAATGATGAAATATAAGAATAGAAATGATAATTTTTTCATAATTTTAAGAATATTTCTAACATAAGGTACTTATTCTCTTCAGGAAATAATGAGTTTAAGTAAAATGATACTATATTGATGCATTTTAATCATGTGTTCAGAAACTGAGTTATGTATAACATTAAAGAAGTCTGAGACTTCAGCTTTTGACGTTGAATAATTAGACTGTAAGCCAGTAGACATACATAATATATATTTGCTTGACTAAAGACTAAGTTGATTATTATATTACAAAAGTAGCCAACTGGCCCAGTAGCAACTTTTAAAATCTATTTAGGATACATAGCTCAGATGCACCATGGACTCTTAAGAAGTGGCATGCTTCTTGTTTTCTGTCTTGTTGCTTCAGTTCAGTTCAGTCACTCAGTCGTGTCCAACTCTTTGCGACCCCATGGACTGCATCACGCCAGGCCTCCCTGTCCATCACCAACTCCCGGAGTTTCCTCAAACTCATGTCCATTGAGTTGGTGATGCCATCCAACCATCTCATCCTCTGTCATCCCCTTCTCCTCCCTCCTTCAATCTTTCCCAGCATCAGGGTGTTTTCAAATGAGTCAGCTCTTCACATCAGGTGGCCAAAGTATTGGAGTGTCAGCTTCACTCCTGTTGCTTACCACATGATTTAAACATGTGGTATTGGAGTTTCAGCTTCAGTATTGGAGTTTCAGCTTCAATCTTATTGCTTACTACATGATTTAAACAACAAAAATAACTTTCAGGAATTTGCAAAGAACTTTGAATTTGTACATTTTGTACTGTCATTGCTCCTTGATGGTGATTCTAGTAAAAAATTAGTCATACAGTTGACTAATTTTCAAAATTTTCAAAAAAATTCTGGAATCTTTTTTCCCCTTCTCTCCTCAGCCTTCCAGCCTCCAGAAACTAACCAATGGAAGTTAAAAGATGCTATTTAATAGTTACTAGAACTTACAGCTCCCTGATAGCAGGTCAGTAAGAAACAAGGGCTCCTTGGTAAAGAATCCACCTGCCAATGCAAGAGACAGAGGAGACAGGGGTTTGATCCCTGGGTCAGGATGGTCCCCTGGAGGAGGAAATGGCAACCCACCCTATTATTCTTGCTGGGAAAATCCAAGTCCATGGGGTTGCAAAGAATCGGACATGACTGAGCACACACACAATGGAAATAAAGACTGTGAAGGAACCGTACAAATAGCTGAGAAAAGAAGAGAAGCGAAAGGCAGAGGTGAAAGGGAAAGAAATACCGAACTGAATGTAGAATTCCAGAGAATAGCAAGGAGAGACAAGAAAGCCTTCTTAAATGAACAATGCAAAGAAATAGAGGAAAATAGTAGAATGGAAAGACTAGAGATCGCTTCAAGAAAATTGAAGATACCACAGGAACATTTCATGCAAAGAAGAGCACAATAAAAAACACAAATAGTAAGACTTAACAGAAGCGGAAGAGATGGCAGGGGTACACAGAAGAACTGTACAAAGAAAGTCTTAACAACCTGGATAACCATGATGGTGTGGTCACTCACATCCTGGAGTGTAATGTCAAGTGGGCCTTAGGAAGCATTACTATGAACAAAGCTGGTGGAGATGACGGAATTCCCACTGAGCTATTTAAAGTCCTGAAAGATGTTGCTGTGAAAGTGCTGCACTCAACATACCAGCAAATTTGGGAAACTCAGCAGTGGCCACAGGTCTGAAGAAAGTCAGTTTTCATTCTAGTCCCAAAGAAGGGCAATGCCAAAGAATGTTCAAACTACCGTACAGTTGAGCTCGTTTCACATGCTAGCAAGGTAATGCTCAAAATCCTTCAAGCCAGGCTTCAACAGTATGTGAAACAAGAACTTCCACATATGTCAGCTGGATTTAGGAAAGGCAGAGGAACCAGAGATAAAATTGCGAACGTCCGTTGGATCATAGAAAAAGCAAGAGAGTTCCAGAGAAACATCTACTTCTTCATTGACTACATGAAAACCTTTGAGTGTGTAGATCACAACAAACTGTGTAAAATTCTTAAAGAGTTGGGAATACCAAACCACCTTACCTGCCTCCTAAGAGGCCTGTATGTAGGTCAAGAAGCAACAGTTAGAACTGGACATGGAACAAAGGGCTGGTTCAGAATTGGAAAAGTACCTCAAGGCTGTATACTGTCACCTTGCTTGTTTAACTTATATGCACAGTAAGCACATCATGCAAAATGCCAGGCTGGATAAATCACAAACTTGGAATCAAGATTGCTGGGAGAAATATCAACAACCTTTGATATGCGGATGATACTACCTGATGGCAGAAAGCAAAGAGGAACTAAAGCACCGAGGAGCTCAAGTGCTTCTTGATGAGGGTGAAAGAGGAGAGTGAAAAATTTGGCTTAAAACTCAGCTTTCAAAAAAACTAAGAGTATTCAGTCCCATCAATTCATGGCAAATAGATGGGAAAAAAGTGGAAGCAGTGACAGATTTTATTTTGGGGGGCCAAAATCACTGCAGGTGGTGTCTGCAGCCATGGAATTAAAAGATACTTCCTCCTTGGAAGAAAAGTTATGACAACCCTAGGCAGCATTTTAAAAAGCAGAGGCATCACTTTGCTGACAAAGGTCCATGTAGTTAAAGTTATGGTTTTTAAAAAATAAATAAATAAATAAAATACAGTTATGGTTTTCCCAGTAATCATGTATGGATATGAGAGTTAGAGCACAAAGAAGGCTGAGCACCGAAGAATTGATGCTTTCAAATTATGGTGCTGGAGGAGACTCTTGAGAGTCCCTTGGATTGCAGGGAGGTCAGACCAGTCAGTCCTAAAGGAAATCAACCCTGAGTACTCATTGGAAGGACTGATGCTGAAGCTGAAGCTCCAGTACTTTGGCCACCTGATGTGAAGAGCCAACTCATTGGAAAAGATCCTATGCTGGGAAAGATTGAAGGCTAAAGGAGAAGAGGGTGGCAGACCATGAGGTAGTTATATAGTATCACCAACTCAGTGGACATGAATTGAGCCCACTCCAGGAGACAGTGAAGGACAGAGGCTTGGCGTGCTGCAGTCCATGGGGTCACAAAGAGTTAGACACGACTGAGCGACTGAACAGCAACAGCAATGTTGCAGCTGTGGCAAATGCAGCAAAGATAGGAAATTGTTGGTGGAAACATTCATTTTATCACAGAATCTTGACACACACACAGAGCTATTATTTTATGCCCTGTCAGTGGAAGTCTTTGGTGTTTTAGGCAGGGATGTGATTTTTATGGGTAATAACTTGGAGTGTTTAGAAAATGTTAATGTTGGAAAGAAGAGGCCTTTTCATATATGACAAGGTGCCTCATATGGATTTTGTCAAAGGCAGACACCAAAAGAACCAAGCAGAATGGCTTCTGATCCAGACATTTTGCTCTCCCTACCAGGAAGACATCAAAACAGAGGGCTCAGGAAATCAGATATGTGAGATGTTGTTTCAGGTGTCATAACACCTGGAAACTGAGATTACCAAACTGAAGTCTGATCTTTTAAAAACTTAGTTGAAAACTGTGTGCTATATGGGAGATAGTTAGCGTTAAGAACTAAGATATGGGAAGACTCTGCCCTGATGCTTTCTGCACATTACAAAATCAGGGGTTCTTAAACCTGAGCGGCTGCCAGAATCTCCTGGAGGGTTTGTTAAAACAGATTGTCAGAGTGGGACATGGCTTGAAGATTATTTGCATGTCTAAGAACTTCTCAGTGTCAGGGTCCACACTCTGAGAACATGTGTAATATGGTGATCCTTAAAATAACCCTACAAGGTAGGCATTACCATCATTTTGTTTTATTATTAGTTGCTTGAGCTCTGAGAGGTTAAGTAAAATTAAGTGAAATTCACACAGGTGCTTTTGTACCTGGGATTCAGATTCATGTTTTTACCTGACCCCCCAAACCCAATCTTTCTCCATCTAACCTTGCTTCATTAAAAGACAAAGAGATAAAGGATAATGAGCAAAGGAAAGTAGAAATAATGTCATTTGACATTGGAGACTGGTCCCTGGTGAAATTGCTAAGGAACTTTGGGGCAGACTGTAGAGAGGCGATACAGAATGGAAAGAAGGCAATAGGTTGTTATCAGAAGTTGATTGTACTAGAAGCTGGAAGCGGATTTGGGGAAAACGGAGGAAAGCTTGTACTTTTCTATGGTAGTTACCTGAAGTAGCAGAAGTTACTTAATGCATTCTTAAACATTAGAAGAAACAGAACAAAAATCGACCTCATTTCACAAATCCACAAAGAAAAAGTAAGAATAGGAAGATCAGTGATTATAATTGCATTAGATCGTTAGATCTCCTCCCCAGACGTTGCCTAACCATACACCGCATGCGGCTGCGAGCATTGTCAGAGTTCCATTCTGTATCATCTCGTGTTTTCATACATGCTGTCTCCACTCAACTGTATTGTCAGTCTCATGTTTTATATTTAAGATGAAATGATAAGCTATTCTATTGTTATGAGAAGTTTATGCTGGTTTAATTGTTCCACTCTGAAATATCCAGGGAAATATTACCCACTTCAAATAAGTTGACTTGGATTTTAGCAGCACATTCTTCAAAAAGAAATCAATTCTTCTTGGTCTTATAAGTTGCTATTCTGATAATACCCTGGAACTTTGAACTAGTTTTGCTGCCGATCACAGTCTCACAACCTCCAGTTCTCCTTAAGACAAAATGCATGTCTACATAGGGCAGAATTTTAAGGGAAATATGTCATTATCTTGAGGACTGTGATTTCATCTTGGTAATTTATTTTTCTATAATTTTATCTTTTAAGCAAAGTTAAACCACCTCCACAAATTTCACCAAGCAAATCAGTGGGCGGAGAATTTTGTGTGGCAGCAACGTTTGGGACATCCCGATCGTGGTTTGCAAATAATGCAGGTCTGAAAAGAGAAAAAGGTATGTGTTTTTACTGATGTTAAACTTACCATATGTAATTTGTGTTTCTTGAAGAAAACTCATAATAGTTCTCTTTGAATAAGCTTCAGCCCAATAATAGAGTCTTCCCCCCACTCAGTTAACATTGTCTTTCCTAAACCACTCAAGTCTCGTCAACAGGAAAGGCTGTCCTCTCACTATAAATGTGATATAAATTGCCCACTGAGTGTTTTTATTTTGTTTTGCTGGTGACAATACACAGGTGCCCTCAAAGTTGTCAGGCCCATATCGTTATATGTAGCTTTTACATTCTTCTCAAACAATTTTCATGCCATTGTCTATGAAGTGTAGAGAGGAAAAATGCTGTTATGCCTATTTTAGAGATGAAGAATTTGATTTTAGTGAGTTTAAGTAATTTAGCTGAAAATGCTAGTTAGTAGGCAATGGTATCAGTTTGAATCCAGGTTTTCTGATACATCTCTAAGAATAATCAACAACAGCTCTGCCATGTTATAAATTAAGATATAAAAGCAGGCTCCCACTCAGAAATAAGAATCATCTTTTATGGTAACCAGTGTCCCTTTGAACTTATATAGTATTGTTGTTTTTTTAAATCCCTTCTTTGACCACCAGAATCAGCTTACAGAAATACTGTTTATGATCCCTTATTGTTCTTATGTAGAAAAGAGTGCCTACTTTCCTGGACCAAGTGTTTCATTTTGAAAGTTAAAAATTTCCTCTTATTATTGTGATCCTATTGAAGTAGGTCAGAAACTGAATTGTTAGTGAAGCCCTCTTCTGATGAGTTCCACAGGCTGTATTGTTCTTGGCAAAACGGCTGTCCTTGACGCTTAATACTGGCAGTCAGACATCAGCTCTTTCCCTCGTTATCGCCTTTCCGTGGCCCTTTCCTTGGAAATAGGATCCCAGGCACAGCAGGCTCTTTACCTAAGCGGGCGAGGATACAGTGGAGTAGGCAAGCCTTCCATTTTCTTATCCCATCTTTATTTTTTTGTTACCTCCTTTGCTTTAATGATGCTATCGAAATGACTTTTTGTTGCCAGTTAAACCCTCTGTGAAGCTCCATTTCAAATGCTTCTCGCTTCTGTTCTGATTACCCTTTTAGCTTGCTACTCCTTTGTGTCCCACTGACTGGTCATTGGCCATGTTCTCAAATCAGCTGTAATTGAGTCCTTTGGCAGAGAGATAAGGTGACCCACCCAGCACTCATGAGGGATTTTATGTGCTCCTAGGTTTACTGTAAAACCCAAGATAGAGGACTAAACCTGTCTTGGTAATGAGGACATGTGTACTTGTTATAAAGTCATTTGATTAGATCCATACTCAGCACCTGACCTCAAAGCATGACTGCTGTTCGTTTACTGTGGGGGCCAGTGAGCCCACCGAGAGCAACGAAGGGAGAAGCTTTGGGGGAGGAGGACTTGCTCCTGTTTTTCATTGTTTGTTTGTTTTAATCCAGAAATTTAAAGGAGAAACTTTTCTGAGAGGGAGTATGTGAGAAGTTCGGCTGATTCAGACAGACAGTCTCTCACGCAGTTGAGTGGGTACCTCTGGTATAGCTAAATCTTAGTCCCTACAGGGTTCCTTTTCTGTCAGTCCTCCCCTCTCTCACCTGGTATTCATTTTGCATGTTGTGGGACAAATTACTATACTGTAGGCAAATGCAAAAGATTGTATAATATTGTTTCAGCATACTAGAATTTTGAATATATTTGTGTCATTCTTGAAATAAATTGCTTAAAGATTTAAAAATGTTTTGATAGCAAAGACCTTTTCATGTTCATTGTTGTTGTTGTGCTCAGACGCTAAGTCATATCTGACTCTTTGAGACCCCATGGACTGTAGTAACCCACCAGGCTTCTCTCCATGGGATTTGCCAGGCAAGAATACTGGAGTGGGTTGCCATTTCCACCTCCAGGGGATCTTCCCGACCCAGGTATCGAACCTGCACCTCCTGCGTCTCTTGCATTGCAGACATATTCTTTACCTGCTGAGTCATCGAAGAAGCCCTTCATATTTATTAGCATCTACTTATAAGAGATAACCTTTAGACAAGGAGCGGGCACCATGTGAAAAAGTTTCTGCCTTCTTATTTTCGCAGCCAGCCTCAGGAACAGATTGAAGGGTCAGTGACTTGTAAAAATGAAGCTCTTGTCCTTTTATGCCGTTATCGCATATCCAGTGTCTGTTTTTCTGTTTGTAGATCAGTCCAAACAGGTGGTGGTTGAGTCCCTCTACATCATCAGCTGTTACGGGACTTTAGTGGAGCACGTGATGGAGCCACGGCCGCTGAGCACCGCCCCCAAGGTCAGCGATGACACCCCGCTGGAGATGATGACATCTCCCCGAGCCAGCTGGACTCTGGTCAGGTAGTATCTCTTTTCGTTTTTTCTTAAAAAAAAAAAACAACTCAACTTTGTTGAGGTATAAAAGATTAAAAGTGTACAATTTGATAAGATTTGACATATGTATACAGCTGTGAAACATCACCATGATTAACAGTATATATACATTGTTGTTTAGTTGCTAAGTCATGTCCAACTCTTCGTGATCCCATGGACAGTAGCCCCGCCAGGCTTCTCTGTCCATGGGATTTCCCAGGCAAGAGTACTGGAGTGGGTTGCCATTTCCTTCTCTAGGGGATCTTCCCGACTCAGGGATCAAACCTGTGTCTCCCATATCTTCTGCATTGCAAGCAGATTCTTTTACCACTGTGCTATCTGTGAAGCTCTACATTATGATTATATTCTTACCTCAGACATTCTCTTATGCCTCTTTGTAATCTTTCCTCTTGCCCCTCTTCATTCCTACTTCACCCACTGAGCCCTAGGCAACCACTGGTCTGCTCTCTGTCACTGTAGGTCAGTTTATTAATTTCTAAAATTTTATATAGAATCACAGTGGATACTCTTTTTGTCTTCTTTCTCCCAGCAAAATTATTTTGATTTATCCCTCTTATTATCTAGTCAAAGCTGTGATTTTTCCAGTAGTCACGTATGGATGTGAGAGTTGGATCATAAGGAAGGCTGAGCACCAAAGAATTGATGCTTTTGAACTGTGGTGTTGGAAAAGACTGTTGAGAGTCCCTTGGACTGCAAGGAGATCAAACTAGTCAATCCTAAAGAAAATCAACCCTGAATATTCACTGGGAAGACTAATGCTGAAACTGAAGCTTCATTACTTTGGCTACATGATGTAAAGAATTGACTCATTGGAAAAGACCCTCGTTGCTGGGAAAGATGGACGGCAAGAGAAGAGGGGGTGACTGAGGATGAGATGGTTGAATGGCATCACGGACTCAGTGGACATGAGTCTGAGCAAACCCCGGGAGGTAGTGAAGGACAGGGTAGCCTGGTGTGCTATAGTCCGTGGGATCGCAAAGAGTTGGATGCAACTGAGTGACTGAACAAAAATGCCTCTTGTTGCATTTTTTTATAATTCATTCCTTTTTTAATTGAGATATAATTTATATGTAATGCATATAATACAATTCAGTCACCTAAAGTGAATTTTCTCTGGGTTGTGCACCCACCACCACAGTTAGTTTTTTGGGGGTGGTGGGGTCTTCATTGCAGCACAAGGGCTTCTCTTGTTCCGGTGCATGGGCCTGGCTGCCCTGCAGCCTGCTGGATCTTAGTTCCCGAACCAGGGATCGAACCCACATCCCCTGCACTGGAAGATGGATTCTTAACCACTGGAACACCACAGTCAGTTTTCATCACCCTCCAATGAAACCCCGTATCTGTTAGCAATCACTTCCCTCCAACCATTTTTCTTCAACCCTTCAGCCCTAGGCAACACCATTTTACCTCGTGTCTTTGGATTTGCCTACTCTGGACATTTCACGTAAATGGAGTCATACAAAATGTGACCTGTTGCATCTGACTTCCTTCGCTTAGTGCAGTGTTTTTAATGCCCAGCGATGTTAAGCATGTAGTGGAACTTCATTCCTTTTTTCATGGCCAAGTGATTTATATGGATATACCACATTTTGTTTATCCATTTATCAGTTGATGGACATTGCCACTGTTTAGCTGTCAAGAATTATGCTCCTAAGAATATTAGCCAAGTAAATAAATGTTAAAATAATAATAATAAATAAAGTGATTCCCCAAGATAAAATGGCTCATCACTGTAAAAATGTTTATTAAAATCAGAGTCCTCCTTGAGAGTACATAGTCATTAGAATTTTTATAATCTAGTGTAAAGAGGGAGAAATAAGATACAGGACAAAACCCAGTCCATATAGTGTATACTGGTACAGGAGAGACAGAAAATTGGTCCTGATGTGTGTGGAAGTATTAGTTGCTCAATTGTGTCTGACTTTGAGACCCCATGGACTGTAGCCTCTCTGTCCATGGGATTACCCAGCAAGAATACTGGAGTGGGTTGCCATCGCCTGCTCCAGGGGATCTTCCTGACCCAGGGATCAAACCTGTGTTTCCTGCATTTTAGGCAGATTCTTTACTGCCTGAGCCATCAGGGAAGCTATGTATGGAAGGAAGCAGACAAAAATGGATATGAAAATCATCTCTCTCTTTTTGACATTTAAAAATATTCTTGTATTGATTTTTGGCGGCTCTAGCACTCTTTCCTACTACTTGACTGCACTGGATTGACCTGATCAATATATTATGTGTCAAGCTATTTAGGAGTGGGCAGATCTAATTAAAATTAGTGCACCATCATTGAAATAAGTGGCTTATTTTGGAACTCATGCTAATCAGGTCTTTAATAAGTCTAGCATTAACTGTGTTTTCTTAACCATATTTTCTGCTTTATTTTATTTTAAAATGTAAATATATTCTAAGAATAGAGGGCGCTAACAATTGTCAGAAATTAGGTAAAAATTAGTTGTGGCATTCGAGTTTCACACTTCCTCTCTGTTCAGTGTTTTGAGTGTCTTGCTATTATGTTGGAGGGTCGTCTGCTATTAAACTAATATTGACTCTGTGTAATTTGTATGACTCATTGCCACCTTTTTATTCTTCCTAAGCAGATGGCTTTGTGTTTCAGGTTTCAGCACTCCAGCAAGTTCATTTTAATGATTAAAATGATAGTGTGAGTTTATATCAGTGTCTATAACTGGTGACAGTGATGATTTTATATTCCATCTATTAAGCCTGAATCTTAATAATCTTCTGTTATTTCCTTAGAACTCCTCAATGGAATGAATTGCAGCCACCATTTAACGCAAACCACCCTCTGCTCCTTGCTGCAGATGCAGTGCAGTATTATCAGTTCCTGCTTGCTGGCTGTGAGTAGTTCTTAATTTTTTCTTTCCATACACTATTTTGAGCTTTCATCTTAAAATGCTGACTTTTAATGCAACCATGCATATTACAGTGGTAATATGGCCAGAGGCCATAAACAATCTGATGGAGGCAAGGAAGATATTTAATACAATACCTTATAAGCTTTAGCACACATTAATTGTGCCTCTGGATGTTCATGTTCTCTGGTCATGACATATACCCTTACTTTTATATAAATTGATAGAGAGTATCTGGTGGGTATTCTCAAAATTTTTTTTAAAAAATAAGGATTCTAGGATATAATAAAGTTTCATAAAATTGGAATCTATTTCTGACAAAAAAAAGTTACACACTTTTTGCTGTGGAAATTGTATTAGCAGGCTTTTTGCTTTGTAGGATTTTTTTTTGCAACATTGAAGTAGTGATTGCAGCTCCATAAGGATTTTGTTTACTTTTGATCTGGGTTCTTTTTTTATTTAAGGAGGAGAAAGTATACATTGAACTAGAAACAGCCTTCTTTGTAGGTGAGACCGGAAAAGATAATTTAATATTTATTATCCAGCTTACGGTCATAGAATTAAAAATTCTTTACAATTATAATGCAATTCTGTCAAATTCACTGAATCCTTAATTTAACTGGATGGCTCTGAGTACTGTATGCTTTTAGGAAATTTTCTGTAAATCAACACTGACATGTTTTTAATAGAGTTTTGTTCTGTCAGATTTATTTTCTTGCCTGGTTGTATTATGCAGTATGAAGTAAAAAATTTGCAAAACAGTTTTTATGTTTATAATGTGTTATATGTTATACTAGAAACAGAGGAAGTGTACTGACTTTGCACTAATGTTATGATGCTCCATAATTGTAACAAATAATTGGTGGTTTCATTTCTCTCACACGATTAAATTCACTGATTCTTCCAGCATGTATTTATTGAATGACATCTCTGTGTCAGTAGCTCGTGGTTTAAATGAGAGTAGTATGTTGCTTCCGTCCTCAGTGAATTCAGTATCTAATTTAGGAGACAGATGTTTTATCAAAACACAGAAGAAAGTGAGACAGGTCATCAGTGAAGGGTTACACATGGAATTGTGAAGGCAATGGCTTAAGTTGCTAAACTGTTTACAGAGGGATAGTAGGTAAGTGGTTTTCTGGTTTAAGAAGCAGAGTATGTAAAAGTTCTTAGGTTCTAGGTTATCTCAGCATATATTTAACTCTATCGTATGACTTGGAAAAAACATATATTGATATATAATGCCAATGTTTATAAGAACATTTTCCCATACCTCTCTACAAAGGTAAAAATAGTTAATTGTTGAATTAAGTATAGTTGACTATTTCAGCATTAATACCAGGTTTCTTTGTTTAGTTATTTTGTGATATACTTTTTATTGATTTGTTTTTGGCTGCACTGGGTCTGCACCGCTGCAGGTGGGCTTTCCCTAGCTGAGATGAGCAGGGGCCACTCTCTATAGCTGTGTGCAGGTTTCTCGTTGCAGCGGCTTCTCTCGTTGCAGAGAGTGGGCTCTAGGGCATGCTGGTGCCCTAGTGGCTGTGGCACATGGAGTCTTCCCAGACCAGGGGTTGAACTCATGTTCCCTCATTGGCAGGCAGACTTTTTTACCACTGGACCACCAGGAAAGTCCCCTTTAGTTATGTTGACAGGTCTGTTACAGTAGACAAACAGTAGCAAGTTCCAAATATGTAGAAAAAGATATGGGCCAAAAAAAAAATGCAGCTGTCTCTATTCCTTGACTTATTTGTTCCAGTGAGTTAAGCTAACTTTATTTTAACAGCTCTAAACACCTTTGTCCAGTTCTTAGAACTACAAAACCCCCCAGGTGCATGGCTGAAGAACCACCACTGTAGCCCAAGCTGTCAGTCGTTTTCAAACATTGCAGCAACACCGCGGGAATTTCCCCTTAGGAAGAACACCCTGGCAGTGTTGGAGAAGAGGTTCAGAAGTAGGGAAGAGGTGTGGCCACTACGTGATACTAGAGCAGGACGGGAGGCTGTTAATTAAGGCTTTTACAGAGAAGAGAGAATAAACCTGTGAGACGTTGCTCAGCTGGACTAGAACAAAATCAGGCAATTTGGAAAAGTCACTGGTGATTGTTTGATTTCTGAATAAAATATGTAATATAATGCATGTCATGTTAGATGTTTTGAATTCCAGATGGACTAGCATAGGAAATAAGGATGAAAAGGCCAAGTTTCTAGTTCCAGACTACCTCTCATTAACTTGATAAGTATAAAGTATCAGTAATAATACTTGCTGTTAAAAATATAATCAACTCAAAGCCACCAGATAGTATTATGATGGATGTGTGTGTGTGCATATGTATACATATGCTTACATAGAAAGAAACGTTCTGTCAGTGCAGTGATGCTCAGCATCATTCTGAACCTTTCTTTCTTATTTCAGAAATAAATAAGAAATATTTTCAATTAACAGACTTCAGGGACTTAACAATGGAATACCTATTCTGAATCTGTAATCTTGACCTTGTTGCCAGATCAGTTGTCTAAGTGACAGACTTCATATGTGTGTCCTGTATCTCAGTTACATAATTGTTATGTTTCCTCTTATCTAGTGAAATGTTACTATAGATGTAACTTAATTTAAAAAACACCTCAGAAATAGGTAATTCTGTAATAATTATTATACTACTTCTTTACATTGGCAGCAGAGACACAGATTTAGCCTGAATTTTGAAGTCACATTTTCTTACATAAAGAAAGGCTATTGGGGGACATCCCTGGTAGTCCAGGGGTTAAGAATCTGCCTTGCAATTCAGGGAACATAGGTTTGATCCCTGGTTGAGGAAGTAAGATCCCATATGCCGCAGAGCAGCTAAGCCCACAATACCGAAATTACTGAGTCTGCACTTCACAACCATAGTCTGTGTGCCGCAATGAAAGATCTAGAATTTACACAAAGATCCCACCTGCCACAGTGCAGCCGAATAAATTTTTTTTTTTTAAAAGAAAAAGGCTATTCGATTGAGAGTCCTGGACAAACTAGTATATTTCACGACTAAAGAAATTAAACGTTCAGAACATGGACATCTGCATCAGAGGAGTAAAAGTCGAAATATAATTGGTTAAAGCAATGCTGGAGCCGGTTTAGAGAGAATACCTTTACCTGCCCATCTGTTGAGCCCTTTATGCAGTTTAGAACCTCCTGAAGAAGACTTTCTTACTACCTTCTTGCTTTCTCTCCATTTACCTTACTGAAACCATTTGAAAAGATGATATTGTACCTGGTGGCAGGAAGTTTTTGTTTTACTTGACCATGTTGAAAATCTGCAGACTATTCATAATGTAGTACTGAAAGTATCTTCAAATATAATCATTTGGAGTAAAACTGTAATGCAAACTTCACTAGTGTCGCCAGCATTTTCTTTGGTTGTGTCTGAATCTGTGGATCAAGTGAAGTAGACTTGTACAAACTCCGGAAGTTGTAATAATACTCAGCAAAGGATGATGTAAATGGAAATGCAAAAGACACTTTGTTGCAGGGAGAAGAGACTAGGAGAGCAGGATGTTTAGCAAGGAATCCCCACCTCCCCTTCCAGCCCAGTAATCATAACAAGTACACTGCTAGTTGATAAACAAAAGTTCTGCATATGTGGCCTCAGGGTCACTGGTGGGCAGGGAAAGGGAAGCATGCCTGAACATTAAAGATTTCTTACCTAAATATAGTGAAGTAAGTGAAAACTCCAAATTTTATATTCCTAACTCTAGTCACGTTTACTACCCATACTAATTGAGTGGAATGATTCAAAATTGAGCAATTTTGATATATGAATTGACTCATATGAGCCTGCCCCTTACAAGGTCAGTCTGGAGGTGGAATTTACTTCTTTGTTATTAGGGTGAGCCATACAAAATTGCTGTTTAGAATAAGCCCAAAAAGTCATACGGCTTGAGTAGATTGATGAGTTTATGTGTATAGAGAAGATATGCAGATGGTAGTCTAATTTTGCTATCTAGCTCAGTGAGAATAAAAGTTAAGAATCTAATATTAAAAAAAAGTTTTGCCTGGGTCATAAGAAATCTTGGGAATTGTTTATAAAAAGATTACAGTAGTGATGATTAGTGATTTTTGTGGTAATAGAATTTTTTTTTTCCTTCAGGAAAAATGCATAACTGTAGTTACCTTTTCTAAAATAGACATTTTATTTCAGTGTATTCCTTTGCCAAAAACAAAGACGAGACTAACAGATATCAACCAGCTTTGAATGTGATCCCAAAATAGATAATACTTTTTCTTTAGTCTGTTTCCGAGCTTCCCAAATTGTAAATTAAAAACAGGGTTTATGGAGTTAAACTGGGGAAGTTTTATTTGGGCAGAAAATAATGTTTCCTCCTTTTCTTTCAGGTGATTTGGCAGCAGCAGTATTTTTAAGTTGCTGACATTAACTAGCTTTGCTGGGGATGGGTCAGGCTTTGAACTTCTAAGATAATCCATGGATATGTGAGAAGTTCCTCCCTAAGTTTACCGAGTTTTCTTTGTTAAATGGTAACAAAGGATCATGCAAAGGAAATATAGCTTTGATATACACTGAAAATGGCTAAGGCGTATATATGGGGTTTTTGTTAATTATTTAACTATCTTTCAAATATAATTGACAAAATATTGACAAAAATTGACAAAACACAAAAATAGTGTGAATGTCCTGTGGTCTTTAAAACACACACGTGTGTGTGGCAGCAGTAGTGTAGAAACCGGGAGAGTGGGAAACGGAACTCACTGTTGTAAGGTTTTATTCAGTGTGTGCCTTCAACATCACTTGGAGGCAAACTATGTTGTTAAAGATGTATGATGAAATAAAAAACAAACCTAAGTGCTGAAAAAAGGAAGTAAAGTGTTAAGAATAAGCAAGTTGATGTAACTCTAAGCAACATCAGTAACTCATGTTAGTTATAAATGGCCTAAATGCTGGACAAGTCAGAGATTGTCAAGTTGGGTCAAAAAATAAAACCCAGTTATATGCT